TATAATTTTCTCTAAAATATTTTTTTAAACATTTATGAAAAAAAGATGAATATCAATATGCTTGATTAAAATGAGATGGTCTGAATAAATTTCTAAATTCTCTTAATAAATAATGAAAACCGTGTCTAATGAGATATACATAATGTAATAATTATGCATATCATTAATTGACATTGTATTTTAAATTATATGTTATTGTCGATAATGAAATTAGAAAATAAGATTAGTTTTTAAATTATTTTAAAACTTATAAATCATACATGGATAATTTTTCTTATGCTCAAGCGCCGTACATTATTTTTACATTTATTTTTATTGTACAAATACCTTATGAACCTATTTATTTTTAAACAACAAAATACAGTATTATTAATCATTATAATATTATTAAAAATAACATAATTGTTTAAATTAAATCAAGATATTATAAAAAAAAAATATATATATATATATATATATATATATATATATATATATATATAACAAAAATAACACTAGACGAAACAAATACTTGGATAGTAATATTTAAAGTAAAAAATACGTTTTTAGTGATAAAAATATTGTAAATTTCATTATGATTCAATTAAATTAAATACAGCAGACACAGTAAGCAGCGAACCATTACTCGATCTAATATCTTATGCGATTTATTTCGAAAATGTATAATCTTCGTAATGTAAAATAGTGCAAATCCTACTGTCTGTTAATTATTCATTCTTTAAATACTTGATGGCAATATTAATCCTACCCGAATCAAAACCAAAGCATCAAACTTATCCACCCTATAAAAAAATAACAGACGACCACATCAAAGGATTAATGGAAGGGATACAAAACACTAGCAAGGCGTAAATCAACTTAGACTGTAAAGTGGGCTTATAATCCCGGTCACTACTCATGTTATGGGGGAGACGAAATATATAAGCACATGGCTATTTTAACGCGTGGTTGAGTTAATAACTCCAAAGGAATAATAATTCAGGCATAATGTATTTTCATTCTCACTGTGAATTTTCCTTTAACAAAGTTTAATATTCTTACTCTTATATTCGTACCCTCGGAAATAATCGAGAAAGCCAATGGAATTATTTAAAATGAAATACCATATCTCTACGAAAATCATATTATGATAAGCTTTTAAGAAAAACTATATTTTATCAATCTCGTTTATTAATTTTTATTATTATTTACAAGTAACGTTGAAATTAACGTGGAGAGAATAAATAAGTTAATTTTCTGTTGCTACATATATTCATTTTCGAAAAGTTAGAAACCTTTTTTATTATTATTTTATTTTATGCCAGCATTTCTCTTAACTTTAAACAATAGAAATATTATTATGGAGATTAAAATATAATTACTAATCGATTAATTATGAGTAAATTATTCATTTCCTTTAAGTAAATCCATAAAACGACGTGAGTACACAATACTTCATGCTGCCTATGAAACTTTGGTACACTATTAGTGATTTTTATAGCGAGATATTATTATCATGACAAGCTCTTATGGTATTTAAGGTAAAATTTATTGGCGAAAAGAAAGGTTCAAAACCAGTATTATCAGTAGTAGTGAAAGTATAAAACATTAACAGCAACAATCATTTATAGTAGCAATAATAGTAACAGCATCGGCATCACCAGCAGCAGGAGCAGCAGCAGCGGCGGCGGCAGCAACAAAAACAGCAATAGCAACAGCAACAGCAACAATAATTTGTAATTCTTCACACACGATGAGGCATATTCTCGATTGAGGGAAAAAAAACCAATCGACCGGGAAAAGTGTAAGTTCCGCGATCCAAGCAGTGAGCGGCGGCAACGTGAAATCGGCGAGAGATGCAACTTTCTAAAATAAATGAAAATAATTGCGTCAACCCTCTCGCCCCTAGACAACAGGACGAATTAGGCTATAATCCAGCTCTCGGTCTCGCAATATTATAGACAACGGGTAAGGAACATTTGCGGTAGCCACGACGGCGAGGGGCAAGTAAGGTGGGGGCTCAAGGTGGGGGAGGAACGAGAGCTGCACAAACGGAGCTCAGTCCCTACCGCGCGCACGCCGAGTTCCTGTTTGCAGCCCCCCGCCATATGCGGTGGCCAACCGTTCATACACCTATATACATCTACATACATCACTTGAGCTTGGCCGTGCGCGCGTCCGCCATTTTGATGTACGATCGCACGTCAGACGAGAGAGCGACTACTCGACTCGCTCGCTCCCACTCTCGTTCCTACTATCGCCGCCGCTTCGGGCGAACGCGGCGTGTCGTGCACTCAGCACTGGCCACTACTGGCGCGCAGTTACCCAGCGAGTGAGAACGGACACCCGCTCCGACGCATATATACACCGTCATCCGTTCGCCGTTTCCCTCTCTCTCTCTCTCTCTCGAGCGCGCGCTGCCTACCACCCGCGCGCCCCTTTGACGACGTACACGAGGCCGCGACCGAGGGAGGCGAGGAGAGGGGAGAAAGTGATAGAGCGATCGAAAGAGAAAGAGAGGCAGCAAGACGAGGAGGTCCGGTCTGGCCGCGCCGTCTAATCTAGGCCCCTGAGACTTCGAAGATCAGGGAGTAAGACTGGCAGCCGCGAGAGCAGCCCCTCTGGCTTTTATATACAGTGCGGGCAGCGGCGGCAGCAGTGGTGTGTCCCTCGCGAGCAGGACGAAGGGACCGCGTGACCAAATTCCCGCAGGGGCCTCCTCCACCACTGCCACCACTACCACCACCACCACCACCAACACCACCATCACCACCACCACCACCACCACCACCACCATCACCACCACCAACACCACCATCACCATCACCATCACCATCACCATCATACCACCATACCTCCACCACACAACCAGAGCCGCAACCACTACCATCACGACTCTTTATTAAGAGGCTCGTGGTCCGGCCGCTCGCCCAACGGTCCACGTTTTTTATTTTAATTTAGAAATTGTGGTGTCCAAGGGACACTTCCCAAGTGGACGACGAGCATCAACTTTTGTTTCGCCTCGCGCCTCACTGTATTAACTAATCATCAGAGCGTCCGCCAAGCAACGGCTGTACACCTACAAACCTCCGTGTTTTCGCGAGTTATGTGTTATTCAGTGCCGAGTGAGCGCGAGGTCCGGCAAGGAGGAGCGAGAGAATGAGATAGAGGGAACGCACATTCGCACATATGCGCAAGCACACATGCATGTACACTCGTGCACAAACTCATAAATACATAAATGCATACTCATACGTGCGTAAGTGCACGAATGCGAATAAACAACGTACGTACGTAGGTGCACGTATAAAAGCGACACTTTATGAGACGGTGTTGTGTGTACACAGTATTCCCCGGTATCATTATTTTTTCAATTATTAGAGTTCGTCGATTGTTTAACGGTTGTGTTCTCATCTCCCATCTCAGTGTACACACATATACAGGCACCAGCGGCGTGCGTACATTGGAGCACCACTTCCTTGTTAAGGGGCCCTGCAAGTACCGCGAGGTGGACGCTTCGAGAAAGAGAGAACTAACCTCGAACAAGGTCGTCACATCCGACATGTCGCGAATTTTCCCCTAGAGTGCCTTCGAGCAATAAAAGTGCATAAAGCGCGCATCAGCACTGACGGGAGCGCGAGAAAGAAACGGAAACATTGCACTTAAGTATAAGGAAAACAAGAAGAAGAGAAAAAAGAAATAGGAGCCGAGAGAGAGAGAGAGAGAGAGAGCGTAAGAAGAAAGGAGAGAAATAGAGACAGAGGGTGAGAGTGACGGAGAGATAAAAACGGTCGCCGCGAGGTGGCCTGCTCTTCTCTTGGAAGGCGCTGCGCTCGCCGGAAAGAGAGAAAAACGCAGAGCCAGGCGCACTCGGTACACTCGCGCGCTCAAGTGTACAACAACCCGAACCCATTAGCGTGTGGGGGCTTCGTGCTGCTCGCCACTACACGGAGTCGCACAAAATTGTTGCACGCGGACCCAAATACAACAGCGAAAGAAGTAAAACAACAAATAACGCGACTCGAGAGGGTAATTGGGCGCGCGCGCGCGCGCGTGTACGTGACAGGTGCGAGGATCGATCTCTCATCGAGTTTAGAACGACCGAATAGACTGTACGAGTCTGCGAGAGAGCGAGAGAGCGAAAGAGTTTCCTCTCCCTCCCCTCCTAACGTTAGTGCCGCCGCCGCCGCCGTCATTGCCACCTCCACTGTCACTACCACCACCACCTCTACCGTCACCACCACCACCGCAACCAGCATTACCATCGCCACCACCACCACGATCACCACCGCCACCAGCACTACCACCACCATTACCACCGCTGTCGCTACCGCCAGCACCAGCAACAGCAATACTCGTCGAGCGCTCTCTTGTAGCTTCGTCGTGTTTCCGTTTCACCGTCCGCCCAGAATCCCATTGCACGACTCGGTGCGCTGCGATCGAAACGCTACTGTATCCGCTGCGCAAAGGAAACGCGCCAAGCCAAGCTCTCCCTCTCTGTGTGTGCGCGTGTGTGTAAGTGCGTGCGTGCGCGCGGATATTTCGATACAGTGTGCGCCGGTGGCCCGTCTCCTTGAGGACGCTCAACGTCCGGAGCCTCGCCTAACCGCGCTCCCGCTGTCTCGGGTGAGTGCACGCGGGAGGGGAGCGACCGCTACTGCTGCTGCTGATCTTCCTGTTGTTGCTGATCCTCCTGCTCCTGTTGCCGCTGCTGCTGCTGCTGCTGCTGCCGCCGCTGCTACTGCTGCCGCCGCTGTTGCTGTTGCTGCTGCTGCTACTATTACTACTACTACTACTACTACTACTACTACTACTACTACTACTACTACTACTACTACTACTACTACTACTACTACTACTACTACTACTACTACTACTACTACTACTACTACTACTACTACTACTACCACTACCACTACCATTACTACTACCACTACTTCTACTACTGCTATTGCTACAACAACTCAACTACCACTACCACTGCTACACAATTATTACTACTACTATTACTACTGCTACTACTTACTTCTACTACTACTACTACTACTACTACTACGGCCGCTGTCTGGTGCCTCGACTGCCCTTGTGTTTGTGAAAGTGTCCCGTGCCTGTGTTCGTGCGCGCGTGCATTAATACACATACATAATATATATATATATAAATATATATTGTACATAAATCACATACGCATACACATACACATATGTACGTACGTACGAGGTGTTACATTTATACGCAAGCGTGCGTATATAAATATATGTACAAGCAAAAAGTATCCACACCCACTCGTACGCACATACTTACATCTGCATACGCGTACTTACACGATTAAATACACACTTACACACGTATACACAACTTTTATGTATATATACTATATATATATATACATATATACACGGCGCCATCAATGTCGGCCGAGTCCGGCGCTTTCGCGCGGCTGCCGAAGCCTCTGCGTCTTCGTCGATGTTGCTACCAGAACGCCGGAGTCGTGGTGAGAAATATCGTGTACGAGTTGCTGGGCAGCCAGCCATCGACGAGCAACAACAGCGACTCGTAAGTCGCGGGCACAGCGGGGATAGCCTCGCTCGAGGCTGCAGCGCAACGCCGCCGTAGCAGCAGCGCCAGCCAAGAAGATGGCCCTGCAGCAGAGCCCAGCAAGCGCGTCCTCGAGCACAGGGAAGGATCCCGTCAGCTATGAGCGGCTGCGGGAGTCCTTCATGAGAGAGCTGCACCACTTCCATGACACCAGGGGGTGAGTGAGCTCTACGTTTCTTATGCCATCGTTCTGGATGAATGTGCAAGCAAAACCATCATTGCTATAAAAGTCAGAGCTAGTGAACATAAGCTATGGCATCATGGGGGATGGATTATGGAAAAGGAATAGCGAAGTGGAAGAACTTTCTTTAATTACTTGATGCGACAAAATTGGCTATAAGAGAGTCCCGGCCTACTAGCTTTCTACATGACTTTATTAACATACTCACGTGGCAGGATTCTGTAGAAATATAAGTGTCGCATAGTGAATTAGGTCTAAATTTATTTGGTTATAATGCACAGGAATTTCTTGTAAATTCAACTGCTTTGTTCATAAATCATTGTTTTCGCTAATAAATGTTTTAACTGCTTCTTTACCGTTTAGTCCGGTATTTAATAAGGAGATAGCAAAAATTAATTGACTATATTAAAAATATAGAGAATATTCATATATTTTGCCATTGTAAAATTATTACAAATGCATAAGTAAAATCATATTCCATTTTCTATTGAAATTGCTACTTTATAGCAGCATATTAAGGTTATTATTTATGTAGACAATGATTCTAATTAAAAATAAAGTAGTATTTTTAAATTATTAGCTAATTACATGTTAAAATGCTTGATAACAAAATATCTAAATATGCTATATCTTACATAAAAAGCATTCATTTTAAATAAAGCATAAAGTTAGAAGAATTTATTTAAAATTTTAATAAAGAATATATATTGTGTATAAATATACTTTTATATAAATATAAAATTAAGTTAAACTAAATTCTTAAGTTTCGCGATGATCTTGCTTAAATAGAATAGAAACAATTTATAATGGTTTTTTAAACCGTTCTAAGTGCCTTATATATTATGCTTACATACAGAACACAGAAAACAAAGTTTTCAAGTAACTTTCGTGTTTGCAGTTCTTCGTGCTATTAAATATAATTGCTTTATATAAAACTATTTATTAAAAATAAATGTAAATAATATATTTTATTAAAGATTACATATTTACCAATCATATTATACTGAGGATTGTATGTTTATCTAACAAATTTACTATATATTATTAAATTATTTTTTCCACGTTTTATTTCTTAATTTTATGTCTAATATATGCGAATAAATGGATTAACGTATATAAGTTTTTAAAATAAACAACATTAAATGTGCTTAAATATTATTTAATATCAAATGCCTAATATATTGAAAGAATAATGATCGAATATATTTTTTGAAACCTATGGTTAGCAATTGATAGATTTTTATTGTATTCTATGAAAATAAAAGTTCGTTTAAATAATTGTGACCATTAATATTTTGTATACTATTCTAGAATCAGGACTAAACTTAATATCTTATTTACTTTGAGGTTAGGTTCATGTTTCAGTTACATTGTTGATACCTTATAAGTTTGTAGTTATATTAAAATTGAAAAAGTAAAATTTTATACCATATTTTTAATTAATAATATTAACACTTAATTTATTGCCAACATAAAATTATTGTTTAAAATTTTAAAATGTATTTCATATTATCTAGATACGAACGTCAAGTATAGGTATATGAAAATAATTGGAAATAATAGATTTCAATAATTATAACGTTACCTATTAATTATTAAAATCTTCTAAGTCTTTTATAAATTAATATTTAAATTAATAATCATTTTACAATTAAAGTCATAATATCATCAAAATATAAAAGGAAATAATAAATTTGCTTCTGTTGTCTTAATAATATATGTATATAATACTAGAGTCATTTTTAACGTAAAGAATATTAAAATCAAGATAAAATAAAGTTTGTTACCGTAATTAGAATAGAAATTATTAAGATTTATCAAATATTATTAGTTGCATCTATAATGCGATTAGAAACAATGGAAAACTTGTATTATGTATCACATAGTGAGAATATTTCAATATATTTAGAAAATATTAGATATTTACAGTTACACATGAATATTTCATTATATATTGAGAATCGTCTTACAGTTCCTCACATACATTTATACAATTTCCATTTTATAGCCTATTTTATAATTCCATGTTACAATAAAACTTTAAAATAAGAATTTTTAATGATAATGACTAATATTCAATCTTTTTTTAGAACAACATTCAAGAAATGCCCAAAAGTAAATGGGAAGGAGGTGGATCTCTACAAACTATATACACTTGTCACATCTCGTGGTGGATGGATACAGGTTAGTTATATATTTTTTAAGTAGTCAAAAGCAATTATAATTATTGTTATTAAATTCTTATGTTTCAAAAATGGCCTAAATATGATATTTTTTCAATTAAACTTACAAATTTGTTTAATTTTTATAATGTATTAAATATACAAAAGGATTTCTAAACAATTAAATTCAAATCAAACCCAATTCACAGCATTTAATTAATCGATGTGAATTTCTTAAATTTAGAATTTTCACTTTACAAATAGTAGTATACTTACTTTAACAAAATTCAAATTTTATTTCTATATAAATAAAATAATAGATTAACTTATAATAGATTATAATGATTTAACTTTAAAAACATTTTTAAGTTCAATATACTTATAATTTGAAACAATTTAGATTAAAAAAAAAGAGATTTTTACTTTCTATTTATATTTCTATTTAGATATCTATTTATATTTATATTTATATTTATTTATTGCAATCGGGATAAGGAATAACAAAAAGGGTGTTATAAGAATTTCTTTGATTACTCCAAAGAATTTTTAATGAATTTTTATCTTTCCTTACATTGTTAATAAATTGTTAAAGTTCTAGTAACGTAATTGAGTTAAATATTGACCATTTTGACATGTAATTTATCTATCAATACTATAATAATTGTTTTTCTGTCGAATTATCAGAAATACAATGAAAGATCCTTATACTTTGGATGAAAAATATATTTTGGTAAAGATAGTTTTCCAATATATAAAATAAATATAATGTTCAGTAAAAACTTTAAATTCACTTTGAGTTAGATTTGATATTACCTTATAAAGTAGGTTTAATTAAATTTTGAACTTACTACTATTTTAGACGTTTATTCGTATATGAATAACAAATATGATAATATACTATTAAGCCATTTATGATTAAATATGCTTGTAAAAGAATGAATGGCAATTATTGTTTAATTATTTCTAAATTATTTATTTACATTAAAATTAAATGATACCAAAGTAGAGAAGCAGTTAGAAATATTTCTAACAACTTCTACAATGATTTACTTGTAATGGATAACAAATCCAACAATTAAATAAACTAAATAATTTTATTATTTTCTTCTCCGGGATTGATAAGAAAATTATATCAGCAGCACACCAAAAAGTTCGATTCATACAAAAAAAAGAAGATCGAAAACCAGTATAGAATAGTCAGTCGAGTCATCTACCCGGAAGGAAAAGCATATAAAATGTTTATTGTGAGTTAAATAAGAGCAGTAGCAACAGCAACAGTCATTCAAAAATTTGTTATCGATCCCCAACACCGCTTAAAATAATACTAGTGTTCAGCGACACACAGTTTGAAAGTCTAGCGGTGAAATATCACGCTTTTATATGGTTGCTGAGAAAAGTTGGATGGTGCTCGATGCCGATGACAGCTAGGGGAAGATTATTTCCGGTTAAAAATAATCCCAACACAAATAACAGCCGAATATACGTAATGTCGTGGCTCACCCATCGCTCAGATACCGAGAAACAAAAATTCAACAAGAAAAATAATTTAAACAGTTTCGATGTGATTGTTTTTTTCGATATATTACGTACGCTTAGTAATACCGGTATGCATTGAATATGAAAAGAACTGAGAATGTATATATATATATATGGTGTGGGTGAGTGGATGTGCAAGAAAACAGATGTACATCTCAATATTTTTGAACAAAAAGACCACGAGACAGTTGAACGATTTATTGTTTTCACATTACAAAGAATATAAAATAGTAATATTTATTATATAAAATAGTAAGTTTCATTTTAATTAAATTTATATTGTTTAAAATCAGTACATGATACATATCAAAAAATAAAAAAAGCAAGAAAGTAAATTCTTCAAATTAATATGTGGATATAATTGAACAACGCAAAGGCATCTTAATGTCAGTTTTGCAAAGTGACCAAAACGAAGATTTTATTTCAAACTCACCAAATCTTATAATATTTTACTCCTTTGTTTGTATATATATTTTATAATTAAAAAATGCATCGAAACAATTGTAATAGTAGTTTCCATTTACACAACACACGCAAACGCACGCACACACGCACGCGCGCGCGCGCGCACACACACACACACACACACACAGAGTGAAACATGTAAATTATTTTGTTAAAAGTTCAAACAAAAACAGCATCGTAAATGATAAAAAATTATTATAAAAAATTTTAAATTATTGCAAATTGTAAAGATATTTAAAAAAATATTGTATACCTCAATTAAAAAAATTTTTTCATACCTCAATTAAATTTTTTCATTTTATCGAATTCAATTTTGTTCATTTTAAGTACAATAAAAAAAATCGTTCTCGTAAGTGATTTATATATTTGTTTTTTTTAATTAATATTATTATTTTCTTGATTAATGTATATCCTTATAAGTTTATATAGAATTTTTTAATGATAAAAATATCTAGTAAATAAATATATGCATGTATGAATGCATAATTGTGTAGGTAAGTAAAGTATTAAAATATTAAAGTGGAAAAACTGATGCTTCTGCGTTTTAACAATACATTTATAAATTATTGCCATTTATGTTTTGGTTTTTAGACGTTCTAAATATTCCTTACATAATGTTAATGAAATAACTAATGAAGTCTTTCTGAAATTTCAAATTAATAATCGTATATATTGGGAAATAATACAAAAGCTTAGCTTGTTTGATACTTATCAGTTATTTGATTATATGCATACGCGTTATAAACTGATTTACAAATTTAAAAACATATATTTATAAAAGTAGTAAACGATTATATTATTAATCAATAGCATTATATTCATTAAAAAATATCATTTCATTTTATAAAAATATAAATTGTATTCTGAAAATAATTCTAATTTCTTGAAGAGCATGTAATATACATGCATTATAAATATAATATATATATATATACTGTACGTACTTAAATATGCATACAAAATTCACACTAATAATTAAAAATTGATTAGTGTTTGATGCATGGTACATAAAGGAATTAAAACTAAGTCTAAGCGCGAGGATAACGCGGAAGTGGTGCAAGGTCAGGGTCGTCCAAGGGAGGCACATTGGTTACAGTAGTGGGGGTAAGAGTGAACTGAAAGAGAAAGAAATATACGCTACCACTATGTCGTTGCGCGATTGAAAGAGAAAGAAAGAGAGGAAGAGAATGCGTGAGAAAAAGCTCATGGATAGAGGTGGGGGAATAGTAGACCAACTAAGAAAACTAAAACCATTGAGGCAACGTCCGCGTGAAATTTAAAAGGAATAATCGATTTTCTTACGAATGCTCAATTATAAACGTTGTACTGTTTATCGGTGACATACATATTTGACATTCCATTACTAAAACTCTCGGTTACACTAAAAGCTTATGTTTAAAGAAAATAAATTAAAATTTGTTGATAACTTCATCAATAAAATCTGTATTTTAATCTTTAGCATAATCATATTCAGTACCTTCCATTCATATGTCTTCAAAGTTTTTGGCAATGTTCTTACGGAAGGAGATACTTTCGAATTCATTAAATATATTGTAAATTATAGAATGTTTAATAAGTATAAAAAAAGATATGTACATTGAGGATATTTAGAGAAAAGATATGTATTTTTATTATTTTAAAAAATAATTAAATTTAAGATATCGTTGATTCGTAATTATAAAGAAAAATATCACTGATAACTAATGTTAGAACAAATGAGAAATTAGTTTTTTTATAAAATTCTTTGTTTTAGTTACGGTTCTATGAATTAAAAATACAAATTTGCTAAGATTTGGTAATATGACTGATATAACGATAAATTTTATTACAATAGCAATCATACGAAATGACATTTATTGTGCTCTTTGACATAAACGAAATATTACATTATAAAATTTATTATTTTTTATAAATCATGTTATTATAAACGAAATGCATCTCTGAATTTGACAATGTTATAATCACTATCAGAACTAGAATAATTTATTACTGATAACTATTGATACAAATCCAGCTCACTTGTTTCCTTGTTTGTATGCTTTAATTGTTTATTTCATAATGCTGATTGTATTATTTCATGAAATGCAGATCCTACATATATTTTCAATGCACATACATGGTAATTGATAATTCTAAGTTGTAGATATTGCATTTAATTAAATGTTTTTATGAAATTAGACTTGGATTTTAAGACTCCGTCATCGCATTAAGAAGATTCAAAAGCAACATTAACTATTAAAGCTTACAATTTAATAAGAGCATCCATAAAGTGTAGTTTTATTGATAATAACCATCCAATATAACAAGATAATATAGTAATTCTTTTTTTCTGCTACACAAATAGTCGTATATTCCAATTTTTATTTTTTTTTTCGTTTTTGATAAAGAATAAAGAAATTCTAAACTTTTAAATCTTGTAATAATAGTTAGGAATAGATCACCAAGAGCTTCTTTTTTAATTATATGCACATTTCAAAATTATTGAAATTTAATTTACGTCATTGCGAGTATAATTTTACAAGGCCTTCTGTCTATTTTCATATAAACTACCTCAGTATTGCACCATTTACGTAGGTGTTGGTCGAAATAGCTTTCTGACTATATTTAATTAATATTAAAAGAAATAAATAATTTTTCATTATTGTAGGAAATCGTAAAGTAAATATCAATTAGATCTTGGACTGAGTCAACGAGGTGACAACGTCGATGTAATCTCTATCTATCTTAATTGCTCCGTTGATAATCCTACTAGGACAATTAATTATTTCAAAATAATTTTAATGTCATCCGTAACAAATTCCGCTGAAAACTTGACTTGAATTGTTATCGAGCCTTCGTTTATAAAAAAATTTTCGAAAAAGTGTCTAAAATAGAGCGAACGAGAAATATGTAATAATTAAGAGTCAGGGATGTACGAATGAACAAGAGAGAAGGGAAATAAAATACAGGCGGTTCAAAAAGTAATATTTAAACGATGAGTCCTTCCCCCTCCATCGTATCAAAAGAACAAGCAGTAGTTGG